CCTCTTCGACAAAGTTGGAGCACCTTCAGCGGTCACCTTCACGGTGGAGGGGAGATCTGGATCTACAACTTCGACCACGTTAGACGTCGTAGGAGCGTCGCGGGGAGTAAGTGCAGTTACGGCGAGGGGATCTCGGATCTTCGAACCGGAGGTCCCGCGAACATTTCTGGAAGAGGATGCCTTCCTGCGCCTGCTTGGAGAGGCGGATCTGGAGGAGGAGGAAGAGAGGTACTCTTCGAACTTCTGTTGATCGAATTCATATTCGATCTCTTCATTCACCCGGATCTTGAATGCCGGTTGCGTCACGACAGCCTCGGGAGCGAGGCTGTTGGCTCCCACTGTGGTCGCCAGTTTGTTTTCATCGAAAGTTACCTTAGTCATTGATTTCATTAAACTTTAAGCGTTACAAATGAATTCAAACAACAAAAGAATAAAAGATTACAACTTTCTTGAAAATAAACACAAGATCCGTTCGTCGTCTCTTGCTTGCGTGGGTCTTTAGCCTGTGACGGGGACGTCGATATCCGTGGACTACCTGGCAATCAGATCTGGTCCAGAGCTTCGTCGATCCGCGAGGAGATCTAGAAATTGAAGCGCCTATCTCGATAAAGCGAGATAATTGCTCTTCTTAGAATTAGCACAAAGGGATAAGACTAAGGATCGGATGCGGGCGATGTAGATCTGACGACGAACTCTCTTGCGTTGAAGTGCTCGATCACTCTTCACTCCGCAGGGCTTCGCCAATTCTCCAAAATTCCAGATCCCAAAAAATGAGGCCTGGGGCTTGTATTTATAGGCTTGAGGGGATAACGGAGCGGTTAAAAACACTTAAGGGCCCAAATCCGCGTTGGAGACACCCTAGGGTGTCTCCCAAAATCCGAGACACCCTAGGGTGTCTCGGCTTTGGCCGAGATACTCCGTTGTGGTGCATTCGTCCGCTTCCGCTGTAAATTCTTCGTCCGAACTCGGATTTGAGTGATTCGAAGTGCGTTGGAAAGCCGACAAGGAGTTATATTAGCCCCAATGGTTGGATCATCTGTATAATGAATGAGACATGAAGGGTATTGTTCTTTTTTGTAAACATCGCGGGGCTCTCGACTAGCCCGTACCTTCGTTATTCCGAAATTCTGTCAGTTCACGTAGTTCGTCGATTCACTTCAGGCGTCCACCGACATTAATTGAACTCCTGGGAACCGGACAGTTACGTTCATCGTCGTTCCTTAACACTGAGCTGTTTGTGGAGACCTATAGGCAATTTTCGATGCCTACAGAAAGCAGTTTACTGATTTTAAAACACTGTTTAAAAATATCAAATAAATTCAGAAAAATATAAAACTTTGGAGAATAATTATAGACATGATAATAAACATGCTACAAAGACTGGTTTGCAAAAAGGATTTTTCAAATGAGAAATATCATTATTTTGCAAAATAGTCCAAAACATGAAAGTGTAAACATACGAGTTTTGACATTTTAGCTTAACCATGTTTTGAAACATTACAAAATGATTTTATAGACTTGAAGAAAGATGTAAGCTATTGTTATGAAGTTTATAAACAATGAAAATAGTATTTTATCAAAATACACATATAATGCACTAAAACATGATTTCATTGAACTAAATAAAATTGATATTGATGAAATCATATACATGCACATAAGTATGAAACTAAAATATGTTTTCTAATTATATTTAATTGTTTTATAGTAAAACTTAAAAACTATCAAACCAAAATATATATGTATATATATAACTATATATATACATGGAAACCAATAAATGTATGTGTGTATATTATATTGAGCTTAAGGTATTAACACACATAATATAAACTCCTAAACTAAATTACCCAAGCTTGATGAAGGTCTTCAATGAGCTCAACTTGGTACACTTGCGGATGAAGCTTGAACTTGGATCTTCAACTTGAATTGTACATAGCTTCACCTACTATTCCGCCAACCTCCATTGGATATTATCGTTGAAGCGCAATCCATCCAACCTCCAACATATTGTTTGCCTAGAATAAATACGAAAACACAAACACTAGACAAATAACATTAGTTGTAAATTATTTATTAAACATCTTCAAAACAAGAAGGCCAACACTTCTATGATAAGGAGAATGAGTTATAAAATTAAATGTGAATATTAGATAATATAAATATGAGTGAAATCACAACTAAAAGTTAATGTGCTATAACTAAAAGTTTAATGGATATATTACAAGTAAATTCATATGCAAAATTCCTTTACGAAATAAATGATCATCCATCTTTTGAAGACTCCAAGATACTAATAAACGGATATGTTGTACTAGATTAATGTGTTATAACTCATAAATAATAGATCACATGGCCACAGTCTGAGTTGAAAGAAACAATGACATTATTTTATTTTAGAGAGAGATTATTAAGTTGATGAAAAACTTTATTTTTATTAATTTAAATAATTATTATATTTAACCACGTACATTGCACGTGCATCTCAACTAGTATTATTAAAATAGAGAGAAAGATAAGTCCGAGTCTATATAAACTATTCTCAACCAATAACTCCCCTTGTTCTCCTTGTGAACGAGACTCTCAACATAATGCTCATATACAACACGTGACTATAAAGATTGCCACTCCTTTCTAAATAACTTACATTCACAGATTAAGGAGTTAAAATTTGATCACTAACTCCGAACAAAAATAAAACAAGGCAGCCAAGAAAACAAATCTTTATTAATCCTCCAACTTATAAGTAGTCATCATTAAAGCGTAATCCTCGATTAGAATCGACAAATCAATGGTTAATCCCGTGACAAAAAGCACTTAATTAATTACCGTTCATAAATCGAACGGTCTGAGCGTGAACACGTCACTCTCCCTTGGACTGCCTTGACTTATCCTTTGACGGTCAAAGAGCAAACCAAAGACGAAAAAACAGAGACCCCGTCCTTTCCGGCAACAACCTTGTTATTTGGCACGCAAGATGGGCGCGCAACCCATCTCGCGTGCCACAAATAGGAGGGTGGGATCCACATCTGGTTGTGGGTCCCACCACCCTGTTGTGGCACGCGAGATGAGCTGCGCGCCCATCTTACGTGCCAAATGGCATTTTCTTTTCCGCAGACACCAACAAGCCAATAGTCTCAATTAATTACACATCTTAATCACCAATTAATCCCACCATCAACCCTAACAGATTTCATTAATCAGATCCCACGGCCGAGGCGTCTTTGTCTGCTCCTCGTCCGCATGGTCCCCTGCTTATCCTGTAACGGACTTGTGCTTGAGACAAATTTCACATAACACCCCGAAGCTTTTGCGGTGATCGTACACGGCCTACCTATATTTTGAAAATTACAGCAAACCCCTTAGGCTTTGGGGAGCTTCAGAAATCACTTTAACTTTCGAGAAGCATAATCTATGCTTCACAGTAATTCCCTTCTAGAGTTTGTCAGGGGAGGGAACAGATGAAATCGGAAAAGAATTAATAGTGCATTTTTACGGTTTTATTGCGATGAGAGAGTTATTTTTAAGGTGAGGTTTGTCAAAGGGTTAAGTGAGAGATTAAGGAGACTTAACCTCTCTTAACCCGCCAAACATAAAAAATCTAGATAAGGGTTAAAGTGAGTTAGCCCTCTATAATTTGCTAAACACAAATATATAAAAAGGTTAAGCTAACTCCTCTAGAGCGATTAAAATGAGTTAACCCTTCAAAATAAGGGGTTTACTAATACTCCTATTTAGAAGGATTAAGAGCTAACCCCTCTAATTATAAAGAAAATAGTCAAAATCATCGTTATTCCCAAACACTAAAACTGATCACAATGGCTAAAATAAAATTTATTCAACGGATTAATAATTTAGTACTTCGGATTATCGAATGAGCTAACTATGTTAATCCTTCCTCTTAATCTCTCTTCATTAACCTTTTACCAAACGGGGCCTAAAAAATGGTAAAAATTCTAAGAAAGCTCATCCCTAATATCAGATTAAGAGAAGAGGATCATCAGAACTCAAATCTCTGTATAAACGTACATTTGACTTTATGTTAAGTCAAATATCGGCTTAAATGGATCCTAACTACCACAATGCTTTCTCAGTCTCGATGCCTACATATGATAATTTTTTTTTTTTTGGGAGTACCATAAAGTACTTCAATTGTCGATTTCTCGAAAGTTCAAAGGGGTTGGTTAAAAACACCCAAATTCTAGAGAGGGGCTCGCTCCATCTCTTGAAGTCCAAGAAAACTTATGCAAATCACTTCTAAATTCAGGGGGTTTTATGGAAACCCACCAAAATAATTACTCCCAAAGCAAAAGCCCCCAGTCTGGCCTGTGTAGGACGACAAGGGCGCACGGTGGGGCCCAAGCCCACGGCGACAGCCCCTTTTGCTTTATGACTCCATCGGCCTTGGCGCCATTAACAACTAGACTAAAGTTTCTCGGGATAATTAATTAACTAATCACTTAATTAAAAAGACATTTAGGAGTAATTAATTAATTAATTAATTAAAGTAAAAGCTTAATAAAAGCCAAAAGAGGCCCTCGCTGCTGCCGCTCTCTTTTCTTCTTCCTGCTTTATCTTTTGCTCCTCATTGAGAGAAGGGGGGAGAGAGAGAGAGAGAGAGGGAGCAAACCCTGATTCAAGTTCACGAAGAACCCTAGTTTTGGGTGCAATTTTGGCGCTTGCAGTGGCCTTTGGAGAGGTGGGCTCGAGTTTAATTTTGCTATTTCGCATCAATATTTCACCTTTAGATCTATTTTTGTCCTTTCCCTTGTCTACCCTTCAAATTTGGAATTTTCTGATATTTTATTAGGATTTGGCATAAATATTGGAGATCATAACGTTGCTCTTTTCGTGAATTTTAGTTGTTTAGGGGTTGGAATTAAGTGTTTTCCCTTATTTGGGGGGGTTTTTGTAGGTGGTGGGTTTTGAAAAAGAAGCTACATTGTTGAGTTTGGGTGATGCTTGAGGTTAACTGGG